TTCAATTCAAGTTGTCAAAACAGATGAGGGGAACCATCCAAGGTTCGTGTCCTGTGTGAAGCTATTGCTGGGTGGAGGAATTGGATCTAAAAGAAGGCGCCTTTGCTCCTGCCCGACTGTTGCCACAGTCTGAGTAACTCCTTCCAACAGGAGAGTGTGCTGTTCCCCCGCAGGTTGGAAACCGGGAGAATTGAAATAAAATTCCATCAACCTTATTAAAATATGCGAGGGCTTGGGTCTTCTTGGGTACCAATCAGTCTAGAGACTTAGAAGCATTTATTAGCAGTGGGGCTGCTGAAGGTTTTTAATGATAAAATTACAAATATTCTAGCTAATTGTAAGTATATGACTTTTATACTCATTTTTTTTAGAGGAAAAATCCTTTTTTTTTTTAAACAAGGGGAGAGAAGTAAAGCCGTCAGAGCACCTTCTGTGATTAGCACTATTGTGTTCTTAAATTTTGATTGATAGAGATAATAGTTTTCACGTAAAAATACAGACAGGTACTTTAACTTTCCATGACAATAGCTATTTGCATTTCTTTTATCTTTTTGTTTAACATTTGTGGGGGTTGGGATGGATTTGATTATTAACTCTTATTGCACACTGAAGGCAGATCTAAAACAAAGGCTTTGTTAGCGCTTCAAAGGCAAAACAGCAAATATTGTTTTTGGTTTTCAACGTGTACAGGTTGTTAAAGGATACCTATAAAATATTTTCACATGACCGTGACCAGGGTTTTACTTGAGTGGAAGGTAAGAAGAGAATGAGTTTTCCAAATGAGACAGACCCCTGCTGTAGTTCTCCCGGGGGAATGCCAGCCTGGAGTGATTTCTCGGGCAATCCTCTGGGTTGCCCGTAGCACATGGTTGCACTGTGTGTGGAGTTTTTGAGTTTTGCCTACTAGAACAGAGCCCCAAAGTTAGACTCTGTGATGTGTCCCAGAGAGAAAGGGCAGTAAAATGTCCCTCCCAGGGACATGATGTAGTGGTGGTGTATGGCAGGTCATTTCTTTGATAGAGACCAGTAAAGGAAGTGTAGCGTTTATTAGCCAACTGCCATGGGTGTGTCTCCGACCACCCCTGGCTGCAGGATGCCTGGACTGTACAGAAGTCCTTCCTTCCTCCTTTCCCTTTTCATTCTCTCTCTGCCCCCCACCCCCGTTTGCGTTGTCTTTCTGCCTTCCCTCCTTTGAATTTCTGTTAAATCTGATTCAGTAGCTGAAGTTCTAGAGATCACAAGCTCTGGGGTTGATTTCTAAGTGGATTTTCTTAAGTGTAGAAAACAAAATGACCCTTGTGTTCAATCAGTCAAACATGTGCCGATAGCCTTCTGTTTTCTAAGGAATCACTGGAAAATAAGGCAGGAAAGCCAAAATGAGTTAAGATTGACGACTTAAAGAGGCAGTACTCCCTTGGAAACTGGCCCATTTGGACCTATTTTCTCAAGTGAAGTCTGTGCTGTTCAGTAAGAAGATGTGGGAGTGTGGAAGTTTGAGCCATGTTCTGTACTTCAGGAAAGCACGGGCTGAGTCTTCCTAGTCCCTTGCACCTGCTAAGCTGCCCCTTTGTCATGGACCTGGGATGGCTTGGCTCACCGCATGTCCCTGGCAGGACTGGCACACAGTGGCTTTTCCACCAGCCTTTGCTTGAGATAGACTGTTGGTTACCCTTCAGCATCAGTTTGTGGTAACTGCATATTGTGAAAGAGAATGCAGGAATCATGGTGGTAATCGTTTATTGTAGCCGCTGTGAAAGGAAAAGGGGGAACTACTTTGAATGTGAAAAATAGAAGGTATGCTGTTAACTTTCCAGCTCTGTGAAGCGGCATCTCACCCGCTAACTTGTGCTTCAGTTCCAAGGAGCTCATGCCAGTTGGCAGTTGGCGTTACATACCTCACAGATCCAGTGAGGGACAAAACTCAAGAGTGCAGCCTGGATGCAGGGTGGCAGCCACAGGGCAATGCCCAGTGAACGTCTAAGGGAGGAGGGAGAGCAGGGGCGGTCGAAAAAGAGGAAGCCTTTGAGAAGTTGGGTTTCCAAGGCTGCAGGTGGCAGGTGATGTGTGGGGGTTCAGCACAGCCTCTGTGGTCACCTTGTAGCTCCAGGTAAATAACATGTGCTATGGTGAAGAGGTTTTGGAAAATTCTAGTTCGTAGGGTCTTTACTGGGAAAGAGAATGCCTGGAAGGAAAGCCATTTCTGTTTACCATATGCCTGGTTCGCTTTTAACACACAAAATCACTAGGAAAGTTTTTCAAAAGAGAGAAAAAGAAAACAACATGGCATCTGTGTGGTGGCAGCCTTTTAAAACAAGAAGGCTGAAGGGGAATGTATTTCTTTTATACTGGTGTGTGTGTGTGTGTGTGTGTGTGTGTGTGTGTGTGTGTGTGTGTGTGTGTGTATGTGTTTGTGTTAACTTAAAAGCTTTACACAGTGATTTAATTTGGGCTCTAATGTTTGTGCTGTCAGTGGTCAGACAGGTAAATAGTCGATTGACTTGACCAGTAAAAGTATGCAGTTTTAGAAACTGAAGTTTGATGCTTTGGGAAAAAGCAAGTTGCATCTTTTTCAGCAGAGCTGTTGATTTCTGGTTCTCCTAAGCACGTAATGATACCAGCTCAGGCCTCAGTTCTAACCCCTTATTTTCTTGTCTTCTATATTGACACATTTCATTTAATTCCATATGATGACAAACAGCTGTTGAACTATTAATCTTTCTGCAGAAAAACTCAGAAAATACCATTTCAGATGACTAGGCTAATGGATGCCTTTTTCTAAAAAGTAAAATCAACAGAAATAAATTAATGAGTGGTCAGATGTGCGTGTGCATTAAAATTTATGGAATGCATTTTACATCTTACTGACGATACTCGATGCGTAAGTGAAAATCAAACGTAGCCAGTTTTGCACTGCCTAAGTCTGGATATGGTAGAGTGTCCGTTGTCTAATTGTGCTGCTACTCACTCTTTATGATTTTATTTCCCCAGAGGAAAAAATACCGTTACATTCTGGGGGTCAACCGGTGTCTGATTTTGCCTCCATTCACTTATGAACTGTGCTTTTTAGGCAGCTGAGTGGGCAGACAGACCTCATGCTTACCTAGAATTGTTCTGCAGGTTCAGATGCAACACAAGAGGTAGATAACTTTATTCAAAGTGGGCCTTTCAGCAGTTTTCTGTGGAAATTAAATTTTAATGAGGTCCAGTTGTTTGCCTTGCCTATATGATAGCAAATCTCATCTGCATTGCAAAGTTCTAATACTATAGGCCCTTCTGCCAAACATGCAAAAATAGACTCAGCTCAATAGATAAACATATAAATTAGTTTAAAGCACATGCACTCGAGTAAGTCTCCAGGAAAAGGGAGGGAGGCAAGGGGCCTTCTTGCTTTGAATCAAGCAAGGTCTGCCAAAGTTCACTCACTTTATATTTAAGATTTGATGCATGCTGGACGTGAAGCCGAGTGGTCAAGTACTTGCCTAGCATGCGAGGGACCCCGAGTGTTGTTCCTAACAGCATAATTTGAATAGTTTTGGCTTTTTGAGGGGTGACATTTCTTGTGTAGGAGATGCTGTGTGTCTGGAGTGGAATGGGGGTACCTCATAGGCCCCTGACATGCCTTGAACACTTGATGGCCATTGACCTTTCTTTTCACTGTTCACTATGAAACAAGAAGGCAATCCTGAAGAGACGCATCAGCAGGAAAGAGCACGATTTTCATTTTCGATTTGAATTGTTTTGTGTAAAAACAAAAAAAGTTTGGGTGCAAATTGCAGGGCAGTCATTTTGAACCCCTGCGCTAGGGTTTTCCCCCACCCAGAAGGTAAAGATTTATGGTGAAAACCTCCAATTTCCTCTCACAGTAAACACGAGACTTCTGATTTCACTCAGAACCTGCATCTTTTTTTCCAGTCGACACGGCAAGAATCTGCATACCCCTTGATTGTGGAAATGTCAGAGGTTGGCATGAAAGTGCCACTTCCCAGCCTTAGTGAAGGGAGAAGACTGTGCCTCGCCCATTGAGGGCTGACAGCAGAGGGTGAGCGGGGATGTACTCCATTCTGTATTGTGCTGGGCAGCAGGCAAAAGGCTATTAGGGTATTAGTAAAGTGATAGGATCTCACCACCTTGTGTTCTAGTCTATCGTCAGTGAGGTGGGATGAACCCCGCTAACACGATCACTCACATGATCTAAATTAATAAACTGATGTTTGTCCTTTTCACTTGGGCCGTGTGCTGATTCCAGTGACGCGGGCAGCGCAAGGCAGCTTCCGATGTTTCCTAAAAGGCACACGGAGTTTTGCTCAGGGGCTGTGGAGACGCGGAGGAGATGCGGGTTGAAATGTGTTCCTCGCTTCCTTTGTGTTTTAGGAAGCTTGATTTCATTTGTTTATTTCATGTGACATGAACCATTTTTATCTAATGTAGTGGATCTGGTAGAGATAGATGCTAAGTACAAAATAGTCTGTGAACAGCTTTCATCAGCAATTAACCCCTTGCCCCTCCCCAAGTAGAAAATGGTGCCTTTTTTTAAAAAAAAAAAAAAAAAACAACTAACAATTATTTGGAAAGGTTCCCAGTGACAGAAAGCCTCATGTGCAAGTGCAGGGTCACTTTGAAAGAGGTGAAAACTAAGCCCGATGCTTCGATGAAGTTAGAAATGTGGGTATGCAGCAACACACACTCAACTAACAGTCTGGTTTCCCAAAACAGCGGCCCGGCCATGAGTCATGTCTTCTTCCACTCGAAAATGAATTAATAGATGGCGAGCCAAGAAAGAGTTCTCGTGAAAAGTCGGAGGTGTCTCGTCTTTACGTTCCCTGTCTCTGTTGGGTTTATGGTCTTAGAGTGCAGATCCCAGTCTTGTTTCTGTGAACTGAGAAATCTCCAGGATGTACAGTGGAACTCCTTGTCCTTTCTCTTGTGTGGATGCTGGACATTCATTGTGGGACTCTCCTTCTCATTCAGATTGTGATGCGTTGTTTTTGTTTTGTTTTCAGGGTGAGAAGTGACCTTTTGAGGTGACTATAACTGAAGATTGAATTATAGAAGCAAAAAAAAAGGTAAAAATCATACGTAATTGCTGGACTTGTATGTAAAACTATTTCAACCTTTGAGGGCTGGGATTTGGTCACTTAATCTTCTGTAGTTGAGATGAACATGCCTCTAAACGTGTGTATAAATGTACATGTTTGGCATGTGGGCAGAAGCCTTAAAAGAGTAAGGATTCCCTTGAAGGAATAGCCTATCCATGTTCTTTGTCCCCCGAATAATATCAGACTTTTCCCAGGTTGTTGAAGCTAAGCTTCAATTAATTTTTGCTTGTAAATTATGTGGGCTTAAGGCGAGAAAGGAATATTCACATCATCAAAGTGGTGATTCATAAAAATGACTTGCCTCAGACATGAGTAACAGGTGTCATTGCCCTGTGCCCAAGTGGTGGCATCCTGTTGATGCTCACCTGCCGCCTCTTCTAATCACCTTCTTTCAGGAATTAATAGTCAGGAACCATAGCCTGACTATTGGTGGCCACATTGGTGTCGCTCCTTAGCAGTGTGGGGCACAGCCCTGAATGTCAGCGCTACGCTGTCTTGTTGTCTTGACCTTGCTGGGAAATCAGATGAGTGCTTGGTTTTTTTTTTTTTTTTTTTTTTTTTTTTTTTTTTTTTTTTTTTTTTTTTTTTGGTTTTTCGAGACAGGGTTTCTCTGTGTAGCTTTGCGCCTGTCCTGGAACTCACTTGGTAGCCCAGGCTGGCCTCGAACTCACAGAGATCCGCCTGGCTCTGCCTCCCGAGTGCTGGGATTAAAGGCGTGCGCCACCACCGCCCGGCTGAGTGCTTGGTTTTAAAGTTCGAAGTTTTCCCAGAGCCTAATGTGGTTTGATGAATGAACGCCAGATTTCATTTCCTGATATTCATGGCTTTGAGGGAGCGTATGAAACACTCCCACGAAGTGTCCGTATGTGCCTGGTGGTTGCTTGCCGTCAGGAGCATCCCAGAGTGAAGCCCACCTTCCTACCAGAGTGAATCTGAAGGTTCCTTTAATGTATAAAATTTAAAAGTTTATTTTTATGGTGCCCATTTATTTTTTTTTTTTTTAAGTTTTAAGGCAAGTGTGTATTGTATTTTTTAGTGGAGCCTTCCCCATAAAGACATTCCTGTTTCTTGAGCTGAGCTGGCCTTCCCATCTCACATTTTAATTTTGGCCCTTAGTAGTTCCATTTGATTTAGTAGGTTTGTGTCCATTTAATAGTAAGTTTCTTTGTGGCCGTATTGAATCCTGTCTTTGCTTAGCTTTGCTATCTTGTTTCGAGTGTTTGTAAGATAGAGACATTTTAGAGCCTTAAAGATTATTTGATTAGTCTTTAATCTCACATGGGGTCTTTGGCTCTAGAGTGCGTCATGGGGGGAGTGGATTCATTCGAGTTATTTCTGGTGTATTTGGGGTCCCACAGTTCAGACTTGCCTCATTTGGGAGACACCGGATTGATGTCCAGAGGTATCTCGTGTCCCCTTCCCTGCTGGAATACTTTCCAGCCTGTGAGGTTGTTGGCCACAGTGGGAGGTGCTAAAGGAAGGCTTCCCTTGCCTGAGACTCAGTTTGGGGCTTTCTGCCAAGTGCTGTCTAGTGAATGTTTCCTGCTTCAGGGTCACTCAGACCTCTGTCTCAGCCACCCCTCACACTCTAAATGCTGTCGCCTCTAGAATAGATCTTAATCCAGGATGCTCTGCAAGTGTTTAGTTCTTCTCCCGCTGTTAGAAACACAGGAAAAGCTGAACATTGAGATTCATCAAAGCTATCAGGGAGTTCAGAGGAAAACTTGATGGGGCGTGGTGGCCCACGCCTTTAATGACAACACTGTAGATGCAGAGGCAGTCAAATTTCTGTGAGTTCAAGGCCAGCCCAGGCTGCACAGTAAGAGCCTATCTCAAAAAACAAAACAAAACAAAAGGTATGTTGAGGCCTGAAGGTGGGGCTCTAGTGAAGTGTGTGTCTAGCATTCTTGAGGTACTGGGTTCAACATCCATAGATTTAACAAACAAACCAAAAAAGATACAAATTTAAGCTTGAGACTTGCCTTATCCACATAGGAGCTTCATCTGTGGCTTCTCAGTGCTCTGTTATCATGAATGATCTGATGTCCCTCAAGCTTTGGAGTATCATGGGATGCATGGGACAAAGGGAACTTTGCAGAATAGGTATTTCTGTCAGTCTGTCCAATGAAAACCTCTTGGAGGCTCCTTCTGATGCACGTGAACTATATATTCTGTTGTATCGTTCACCATCCTGTAAATAAGCCCCTCTCTTAGAGAATTTTTTAGATCCTGAAAATATTGTGTTTTTGTGATGTCTCCTTTCAGGAAACAAAGGAAGCTCGTTGGCATGTTTATGTAATGCCTCTCATTGACTAGAATTCTTGGCACTCGGTGTAAGAAGTTTTGTTTGGGGGCTGGACAGATGGCTCAGAGGTTAGAAGCACTGGCTGCTCTTCCAGAGGTCCAAGGTTCAATTGCCAGCACCCACATGGCAGCTCACAACTGTCTGTAACTCAAGTGGATCTGACACCTTCATACAGATACATATGCAGGCAAAACACCAATGCATATCAAAAAAAATTAAAAAAGAAAGTTTGCTTAATCTTTTTTTTTTCCATTTCTGCTTTTCTTAGCTTGGTTTTTGTTCCTTATATGTAACCTTCATTTTTATTCTCAATAAACATTCGGTAATTTGACATTTTTTGGGTTCTGTAGTGTCCATTCCATCTTTCTTTTGCCTCCAAATTTGCCTTTAGACACGGTCAAAGATCTTCCGAAGTCAAATTCATACATGTATGTATAGATACATATGCGTGGCACTTGTGCAGTAAGAGAAAAGCATTTTCTATAAGAGTCAACCTGATTTCTAAAATTTTTCATTTTGTTATTTAGTTCTGCGGAACTTGAGTTGAAGAATGCATGCACGCGCACATACAGATGTGTATTTTTGGTGTACACTTGTATGTGTCTGTACTTCTGAGTGTTTGTTTGGAGGCTAGTTGTCAACATGGCGTACTTTTCTCAGTTTTATCCACCTAATTGTCTGAGATGGCTTCTCTCACTGAACCTGGAGCTTACCAATTGGACTAGTCTGTCTGGGCCATGAGCCTCAGGGATCCTCTGCTGGGTGCCCCCAGTGTGCTGGGGTTCTACCACCATGCCCAGATAATATTGTCTTCAGATGTTAGACATCCCCATGCCTCATGGCTTATGTGGCACTTCTGCTTTTTTTAAAATGATCAATTTATTTGTAAAGAAAGTTAAAAAAAAATCTTCAAGGAAAGCACAATTACAGTAATTTTTTTCCTACCCCAATTTGAGCTTCTTTTTTTTTTTAAATGTTAAATGAAGGAGCTACAGTGCATATTCACAGTTTGCATTCATTGTGTCTTGCATAGTATGGATGATTTCTTAAAGATTTAAAATGCTTTTCAGCTAATTGAAATGTATTCGTTCTTTTAGAAGACTGTATTTGTGTGAGTTGAGCATTTCCTTAGCAGCAGCACCCTTCTAAGGTGCTCCATTCAAATGATCTGTGGGGTTATTTTTGTTTCAATTGTCACTTTATTGCAAGATGGCATAATTCATTACAAATTTAAACTGCAATTTGGTAATTTCAGTTGGGCAACAGGTCGGTTGCTACAGATTTACTTTTACAAATACCAAAAAACTCCAAATGCAGAGTCATGATCAGAACTGTCAGACCGGGCAGCATTGGGTAGCCAGGCATGATGGTGGGGGCCTGCCATGACATCACTAGGTAGGTAGAGCCTAGAGGATCAGCCGCAGTACAAGGCCAACTTTGCCAGCATAACAAGTTCAAGACCAGCCTGGGCTACAAGAGCCCTTGATTTAAAAACACACTCACACACAAAAAAACAAAAAAACAAAAAACAGAAAACAACAACAACAACAACAAAAAAACCCAAAACCTTTTTTCTTTTAAAATGGAAAGACAGAAGAAAAGATTCAGCATTTAAATTAAATTATGTTCCTATTAACCCATGAACATGCTGTGGACACAGTGTAACAAAGTCTTCATTGCATAGCTAGTTGACTCCACTGGCTGGAATATGATCAACCAATCACCTGAGCTAGCCATTGGACTGCTCTGTCTAGATACACCACACACCCATGTCTGGGTTGTAATGGCCAGGCTGCGATCTATGCTGCGGCAGTTAGTGTTTGAAATCAAATAGTCATTGACTTCAGTCATGTAGCCATCCAGCTAGTCCCGTTTGGCCAGGGAGGTCCTCTGTGTCCTCTCTCTCTTTCCCTAGGGCTCTCTCCTTATCTGTGTGGCTGAAGCTAAGTTGTTGCCACAACATGGGGAGCCCAAACTACTCCATTTTCTTTGAAGCAAAAGTTAAAGATTACTCACATGACACCTCTTGACATGTAATTGATGAGATTAGGGAAGGGCTCCATGAAGTTTCAAGGGCTGCTGGGAAATGTTTTTGAGTGAAGAGAAGACTGGAAAAGACTGAGGAGCAAATATAAGAGGTCAGACCATCCATAACTTCTTTATGGAGTGAATCACTCCAATCTAACCCTCCTTCTGTCTCTCCTAACCCACCCTCCCTCTCTCCCTCCCTCCCTAACTCTCATTCATTTATTCATGTACATGTACCTGTACACACACATTAATTGTTACCACAGATCTCTATTAATAGCTCTTGCTGTACTCTTGGAGCAGAGGTCCTCCTTAAAAAGATGTAGTCTCTGTTTTCACAGGGTTTAAATTCCAGAGAGAAGACAGACTCAGTTGCTAATCATGACTGTTAGAAAGGTTAACTATGGTTGCTGTTTGAAAGTGACCCAGAGCAAGGAACAGAAGGTGCCCAGAACAGAAGTGTGAAGTCGACTTTCTTGTACTTTCCATAACAATGCCGTTGTAAATTATTAGGCAGCTTAGTGTTTCATATTCAGATTTCTTGAATTTATAATTAACACATAGTTCGAGTCACTCATTTAAAGTGTGTTTACTGTACAGGTGCTTTGGGTGTTGAGGCAGTTTGCTGCCTACC